TATCTAACATGAAATAAAGAAACCAACCAGAAAAAAAATAGTAGTTTGGAAAAAACCAGAATCTATAAATCCTTGAAGGCAAAGAGAACTTGAAACAGGATGAGATTAACATCCACAGAGAAGAAAGGGGGAAAACGCAGTCATAAAACAATGATGGGTTTCTCTAAAAAGTCATTTTTAGATAATTAAATAAAGCTTTGGAGATTAAAAGCATGATCATAGAAATGAGACTCTCAAAAGAAGGATTAGATAATAAAACAAGAAATTTACAAGCAATTAGAGCAAAACGTCAAAAGGATAGAAAGGAGAAGATGAAGAAGAGTACAGGGTGAGGGCAAATGTGTCCCATCTGAATAACAGGATCTCCAGAAAGACAGACCAACAGAGGCACGGAGATCCTCCCAAGAACAAACCAAGACATGATAAGAACTGATAAGAATTTGCATATGGATGGGGCCCACTATACACCAAAGACATAACGGATGAAAATAGATCCAATGGCCTTCCCCAATGCCATCTGAGATTTCAGAACTGATGCCAAAGATAGGAGAAGCTTCCATTCAAGAAAAAAAATAAAGTTTTCCAAAATGGTACAAGAACCAGAATGTTATTGTTTCTTCTTCCATAATATTGGAAGTTAAAGTCAAGAGTCACTTGGCATTTTAAAAAGCAACGTCCAGAGTAAAATTTGATATCCAAGCAAACTATCAGCTAAGTGTTAGAGTAAAGCCTCTTTCAGAAATCAGTGCTTTTCAAAAATGTTACTTGTTATACCCTAGGAAGCTACTAGAGTATGAATTTAAGCCAAAATACATGAATCAGGACTTTTTAAAAGGTAGGAATATCGACATCTGACTTTAGAGCTGCAAAAGTAGATAGAAAATCAATTAAGAGCTAAAATTGGGTGTCTGGGAACTAGGAATAAAAATACATTTTTCTAATAAGCTTTGTAGAGCTGCTGAACAATTTCAATTATGTGCAAGCATAATTTTGATAAAAATAAAACTAATTTTAAAACATTAAATGGGGTAATATAATGAAACCATCTTGCACATCGTACAGTCAGTACCTCCACTTTCTACCTCATTATCCAACTGCAGGTCCTTGCAAGGTTTGAGTTTCCCATCTCAATAAATGAGAGCATCAACTCAGATTCGAACCCTTTTAAAAACTCTAAAATTTTACTGATCTACTTAGTATTTACTAAGATTTCAGTGTACTCATACGGATGCTGTTTTTGAACACTAAGTTTTTTGTTTCTAATTTTAACCTTTTATTACAAGTATGGTATTAAGGCAGACAAGCAGGATCTAAAATGCACTTGCAAGTTGTTCTATGGTTATAAAAACGCTGATGAAATGGAGCATTGGTTAAGTAGCTCCCATCTTCCCATGTTCCAAAAACGTCAGTATCCCCACCTCTTCTTTCCTCTCCTAGAGAGAATGTCTCCTGCTTTTTAGAAAGGGTGAGGCCAGTGTGTGAGCAACAAAAGAATCCTCTCCAGTGTTAGGAATTTGATGCCAGTAGAGAAGCATGGCCATTTGATATATACAAATTCGCTTCACAGTGCCTGGTCCATGGTAGACTTTTAATAAATGCTGGTTTATAGGATCATAAAACATGGCATATACTTTGGGGCAATTTAGGAGAAAATAACCTTCCAGAGCACTGGCAGCCATACTCCACTGCCCACGTGACAAAAGTTTCTCCTGGAAAGAAGTATGTGCTCCCTGCTCAGTGTCTTGGTAGGGGCGGGTGCCGTGGTGAATGCCTCTGGCTTGCTCTTCTCCTTTCTAACCCTTCACCTCTCTGAACTGGTGCTTTGTCCTTGCAAGTAAATCAAAGGGAAATTGAAATTGATCTAGGGGATGATGGCTGGTGGGAGTTAGAAATAGGAGAGCTAGAGTTTGGATGGTTCATATGATCCCTCCTTCCCACCCCCACCCCCACACTCAATTAATTTCAAGCTGAAACTGATTTATTTATAGTCATATCTTACAGAACATTCTAGTGAAATTTCCTTGATTTAGGCCAATGTCTAAGTTCTTTCTTCCCTTCTATTTTAAAAGAAATATGAGACTCTGTTCCCTATTAAAGAGGAAGAAAGCATCATTGATGTCCAGCTTCCCTCTAGCTACTCTGAATTTGAGCAGACTGTATGACTCATCTTTCCTAGAAATACAACAATGAGATCATCATGTCTGTTCCCTTCCCACTCTGAGTACAGTTGAATTGGTTTCCTCTGTGTTCAGGGATATATATGTATATTCTCTCTCTCTTTCTTCTTTCTTTCTTTCTTTCTTTCTTTCTTTCTTTCTTTCTTTCTTTCTTTCTTTCTCTTTTTCTTCTTTCCTTGTTAATACACAAGAGCTGAATCATATAATTGAAACACAGCAAAGAGGAAAATGAGCGGAGATTAATACATTTTTTTTCAGGCAGCTCAATCCCTGTCTCCAAAACTAAAATTGTGTAAATGATGTAAAGAGATATATCTGTATTTTTGTTTTAATACTTCCTATACTAGGAAACTTGCTGCTTCCAGAGGTAGTCAATTCTGCTTTTAACAATTCCCTTAGATTGTTCTGACTTAACTGGACCTAAAGTCCGATGGCCCGTAACATTTACCTGTTAGTGGTGGTCCCAACTTCCATGACCAAAGGGAGTATGCTAGCTCTTTCCTAGCCAATATCCCTTCAGGTATTTGTAGACAATGATCATATCACAGGTTTTACTTCAAGTGTAGAATCCATAGAGTATAGTTTACTTCACTTTAGACATTTAGCTGTGTTTCTAGATTAACAGTTTGGCATGAATTAACAAGAAAAACCCTCAAAATACCTTGCTTTACATTTCTTTAAAATTGCTGTTTCACCAAATTGACAAGGTGCTACCACAGACTAGGCAAAATATCTGGGTAAATATCTTTTGCCTGAATTACACAGATAATTGGCATTGTTGTTCTATGCAACCAGTATCTAAACCATGTTTATTATAAAAATATGAGGATTTATATTTCTTTAATCTCTTACTCTATTCCTGAAAGGTGGTATCTAAATCATGTTACTGCATCGATCCATGAGCAATTCTATTTTAAGACTGTCATTTACTCATTTTCTTTTTTTATTGCTTGTGTGCAAACAGAATTTAACAAAATACATGACACCTATTCTATTTTTCTAGGATATTAATAATGTTCAAAGACCACCCTACCAGGACATTCTCAGGTTCCCCTTGAAATTAAAGTTGAATAGAATGCCAGATTTATCCCCAGCTGCAAAAATAAGGTTGCCCAAGGGAGCAACCAAAACAACTGAAGAAGAAGAAGAAGAAGAAGAAGAAGAAGAAGAAGAAGGAGGAGGAGGAGGAGGAGGAGGAGGAGGAGGAGGAGGAGGAGGAGGAGGAGGAGGAGAAGAGAAAGAAGGAGGAGGAGGGGGAGGGGGAAGGGGAGGGGAGGGGAGAAGGTGGGGGAGGGGGAGGAGAGAGGGTGGGGGAGGGGAAGAAGAAAGAGAGTAGCAGTAGCAGCATCAGCAAAATGGAACAGAGCATTAGGAAAATATCTGCGCATCCCAAATAGCATTCCAACCACACATCCTTACATGAGGAAGCATGAAATGAAATAGAATTTTTAGATATTTAATCCGGAAAGAATCTTACGATTTCCCCTGTAGTTTTAAGACTATCAGTAAGTTAACTTGCAAATGAATTTTGTAACTGCAAAAACTTAGAACTTTAAACGTTAGAACTCAAAACCTTAAAGCCAGAAGACAATCTAGAGATATACAGAGCACTAAACTGAGTCAAGACACCTTGGCTTGAGGTACTACTCTGCCATTCACGAGCAGTGTAGCATAGCTAAGAAATGACCTCTCCAGAATGTATTAGCCCAGGAGCCTGGAAGTCGGAATCTCCTGGCATACTGTGACCATTGTAGAACTGCGAGAGAATTAGAGTCAGAAGGAGAGCCTTATATTAAAGGGCTTTCCAAATGGAGGGCACCAGAGTTTCAAAACACAAGGAGAAGGGCTAACATGGTAAGTCTGGGGAAAACTAGAGGTAACCAGATTCTAAGTGGGCCTTAAATTCCCTGCTAAGAACTCGGGCTGTGCCCTAGAGAAATTGAGGTGTCCTGAAGAGTTTCAAAGAGTTGGTCCCGGGCATGACCAGGTTTGCAAAGCAGAGAGACCACTCAGGTAGGCCCTCAAGAGGATGGGATGAAGTGAATGATGTCACATGCTAACAGTACTGGGAAAAGAAATGAACATTGTGGCTGAGACCCATGTCAGATGCTTTGGAATGTGCAACTTGTCTCATCAAAGAAGATCACATATAGATGGCCAAATGTAATCTGAGCATTGAAGTGTGACCTGGGGGACCCACACTTACTTTCTGAAATGTCCAGGAACAGTAATATAGTGCCCTGAGTTCCTAGAACTTACTGTATAAACCACCCGAGGCATTAATTTCCCACTTACTATTCTTGACCGAGTCTTCCTCCTTGATCCCATCTCTACTGTTTACCTTCCAGCCTTTTCCATCTAGTCCCTAATGCATGGTCACCCCATTGTCAAGTGCTGTTTGGAAAGAGCAGAACCTTAGGTTTGCCATCCCTCGGTGGGATCCTCTGGACACAGTCAGGACATTTTCTGCTCTCTCTCCTCAACCCTGTTACCTTCCACACATAGCAAAATTGGCCATATAGTTTTTCAGTTCCTCAAAACAGCTATCACCACACTTCCCAGAAAACTTCTCCAGCTTTTCCCAGAAAACTTGTTTGGCAATTGATTCAGCCTTAGCTTATCAATCATTGATGGGCTCATAGGTCAAAAAAAAAAAAAAAAAAGGACTGTCAGAAAGTGGACAAAATGGAACTTGACTTATCCTCTTAGATTGGGGAGCTGAAAGTTCCAATGAGAAGCACATGAACTGGGTGTTCTCTGTTGATTCTTCTAGATATGGTCTCTTTTCTCATTGTGCCCCAGGACACTGACTTATATTCTGCACCTTCAATTCCTTTGACTTCTAACTTTAGGTTGGCTTCAGGAACAAGAGATCCTGACAGCATATAGAAGAGAGGTCTGAGGGTTTATCCTCACATCTCCTGTCCCCATCAGGCTGATGGCTGGAAAGTAATCTCTACCAACGCACAGCTCCTGCTGGGCAGCCCCTCTCCCATGGCTCCAGCTGTCTTGGGTTCTGTAACTTTGCTTCCTCCTCTTGTCCTCCCAGGCCTAGAGACCATATCTGCTCCCAGCGAGGATGAAGACTGTGCTCATACCTTATTAGTTCTCTGAATGCTGTTCACACCTCTATACATAAGCCTTTCATTAAACAGCCTTTGCTTACACCTTTGAGCCTGTTTTCTGCAGACACCCTGATCACTACAACACCTCCAGATGTTGCAATAGTAAGAAAAACAAGTGAACATTTGGGGGGAAAGCACCTATATTCGGTATTTTTGGAACTATATTGGATTTAGAGTAATGAGACCTAGATTCTATTCCTAGTTCTGCCACATACCAGCTTTGTGATGTTGGCAAAATTAATTAGACTCAACTTTCTTATCTGTAAGATGGGGATATGACTTAACTCTCAACCTCATTAGATAAATTAAACTATAAAAGGCCTAATTTAGTCCATCATCTGCTGCTTTTTCTTGAGTTTCCACCTCCTTTGGTTTCTGTGAATATTTTACAAATAACTAATATATGACTTGTTCCCACTATTTATCTTTCCCAGCCAGTCTCCTAATATCTTCTGGACTCACTCTTCATTTCCCTTCTTTCACCTCCAAACACCAAAAGATCCTGTAAGCAACAGCATTGGAGCCCAAGCCCTGAGTCAGTATCTGAGTTTGTGAGGACCACCCAGGCTGGGAGTGGCCCACTTTGGAGAAAATCTGTTTCCATCCACCCCCACTTTCCCCATCCCCATCAATAAACCCTTTCTTTCTGCTCACTTTTCTGAGATGCAATTAAGTGGCTTGGACTAAGTGCCTTGTTTAACTTTAAGATTTGCCTAAGTATTTTGTGAGCTTTTATAGGAATGCCTTTTCAGGCTGCCTCCCATCTGTGCCAGGAAGAGTTTGTGCCTAAAAGATTCATATCTTAGATTTCTCTTCCTCTTATTTATTTGGGAAAGTCAAGGGAAGGAAAGCCCAGCAATGTCTCAGATGCAAATGCAAACTGCAATATTCGCTTACAGTCATTTAATAAAAATTCCTTTTATTACAGCCCAGCTGGATTGGATAAGAACAGGATTCTCATAATGGGACTGACTTAAACTGCTTTGGGACCTCAGTATCCTCAACCACTCTGAGTTTTGGTTTTCTCATTTGGAAGATGAAAACAATGTGTACCCTGATGAGGAAGTCACCAATAATGAAGAACTTTGAGAACAACAGGATGACAAGTAAGAAAGTACTCAGCATATCAGCATAGTGTTCATAGTATATGTTTTTTTAAAGTTCATTTTGACCCCCTTTTCTACATTTGAACTATTTCTACCAGCTTGCTACCAGACACTGTTTCGTGATAGTCAGTGTGTTCGCTGTGCCTAAATGAATCGGTGACTTAGTATCAAAATTATCAATTAAAAAAAATGAGCGATTCATTCAGAATCCATGTGTAGCCAGGACACTGAGGTTGGGTGTTTGCTCCCCATTGAGTAAGCTCAGGGAAACAGTAGTAGTAGTGAGAATCATCATAGCTGCTACTTACAAGGGGCTCACTTGGTGCCAGGCACTATTATAAATACCATACATATTTAACACATGGGATCTTCAGAACAAAGCTATGAAGTAGCTACATTACCCCATGAATAGGTAAGAAAACTGAAGCATGGAATTCAACTTGCCCAAGGGTTGTGGTATGAATAACACACCTCCCCACCTCCTCACTCCCCCACCCCCGTGAAACAAAGATGTCCACATCCTGATCCCTGGAAACTGCAAATACGTTTCCTTGCCTGGCAAAAGGGACTTTGTTGATGTGATTAAATTAAGTGTCTTGAGATGAAGAGGTTATTTTAGATTAGCCAGGTGGGTCAAATCTAATCACAAGGATCCTTCTAGGAGGGGAGCAGGAGGACCGGGGTTGGATGTATTCCAGATGGGGTACAGGGCTGAGTGGGGCAGGACCGTGGCCTAAGGAGCGCGGGCAGCCTCCAGCAGCTGGAAAAGGCAAAGGGGAAGGTCGCCCCCGATCTTCCCGAAGGTGCTGACACCTTGAATTTAGCCCACTCATGCTGATTTTGGACTTCTGACCACCAAGACTATCGGAGAAGTAATTTGTGTTATTTGAGCCACTAAGTTTTTGGTAATTTGTTAGAACAGCAATAGGAAATTAATATATCAAGTGACTCTCCCAAGGGCACACAATTTAGTTTGAGTGGGAACGGAGGGAGCTTGAATTCTAACCAAGGCTGTCTGATTCCAGAAATTTCACATTTAACTACTATGCATCACTTCTTTCTAAATGTGTAACCTAATATTTCATTGATGTGAATCATACTGTCCATGTCACAAAGCATTTGTGATAATTATTAAAAGTCCAGGAACACATTGTGTAGATTGAAAAAAAATGTGGCCACAGTATTTGCAGCTCCATTTATAAAGAGATGGCACCTCTTTCCCCACCCCTGGAATCTGGGCTACCCCGTGCCTTGTTTTGGTAATAGAATGGGCCGAAAGTGATGTTATAGCTTCCGTACTTGCATCTTGGAACATCTCTGCCATCACATAAACAAGCTCAGTCTACTCTACTGGAGGATGAGAAGCCAAATAGAGAGTACAGGGTGCTCGGCGAACCACCAACATGAGCTGCCAGACCTGTAAATGAAGCCATTTTGAATATTTCTGCCCGAGCTGAACTTCTGCCTCAGTGCCCACACATGACAAAGGCCAGGCGAGGACACGAGAACCATCCAGCTGACCCACAGAATCATCAGAAATAATAAACTCGTTATTGTTATTAGCCACAAAGATTTAGGGTGATTAGTTATAGAGCAATAGATAACAGATATACATGTAAAGTGCATGGAATAGAATTCATTTTCTCCTGTAGAGTAAGAAAAGATTCAATTCCTAAAAAGTCAATTTTCAAAGCAGCAACAAACATTAATCTGATGCTGAGTGAAATTAATTTCCTCTCTCAATTCCAGGTCCCGGAAAGATGTTAAGAAGACAAAGCTAATGTCTACAAGGGTGCTGGGGACCTTATGTATTTAATTTTCTCAATAACCTAGTCACAATCCTCATTTGAAGATAAGGAAATTGAGGCCCGGAGAGACTGAGTCTCTTGTCTGAGGTCATGGAGCTAGAAAGCAGCAGAGGAGTATTTATAACCTAGATCTGCCTGGCACAAAGTCCATTCTTTTTCCAAACTCAGCTGAAAATGTTCTAGCAGTCCCTATAGACGTCATTTCGCTCTTGTAAATGTGTCCAACTAGTTTTCATCAGTGAGTGGAAAATAGCCAAGATATGATATTCTATGAAATCTCCCTTAACACTCAGAATCCACTGGTAACAGTTGCCAGGCAAAATGTTTTATGCTAAAATTGCCTGTCTTATAAGACGTTAAAACAGTTTTAAAGAGCCTTCTCCCCTCAACATGCATTATATTGTTAGCTTTGCTCTTGTTTTCCCCTCTTTCTCTGAAATACAATGTGAAAAAAAAAATCTATATCTTAAATAGAAAACACTGACACTGTAAATTGCAATTGGAGACTCCAAACACTTGGAAAAGGAAAGGTACAGTTGAGATGGTCTGTTATCCTTGCAGAATCCATTTGGAAACATGCACACACGGAACATGGGGGAGAAAAAAACAACCTTCTGGTTGTTTTCTATCATTTTCCTTGCCTTTCATTTTTGTCTCGTCACTATTTTCAATCAAAGGGAGTATGTGAGAAGCACACTGGCCTGGGTTCAGGAAAGAATGGAAGTATAGTTAAGAAATAAGAACCTATCTGTCATAGAAAAAGCTACTTACAGTTCACTTAATATAATAAACTTACTTATTAATCATTTCATAATTTTTGAACACTGCATATTTTTATCTTAGAAGAGTACTGCATACTATTTACATCAAGACTTAAAAAAGGAGGTAAATAAGGGTAAAAATTGCTCAGAGTTCAACACTTAGAGCTGATTATCCTTGACATGTTGGTATCTTTCTCTCTAGCTTTTAAAAGATATTTTGCACACTTTTTTTTTATGTTGGTGGGATAATTTGGCATCCTTTATGTTTTTTATTATAACATCAGCTTTTAAGTTTCGTATTTTTCAGAGAGATCAATAGTTTTTAGCATGGGATGTTACACTTTCCCTTTGCTTGAGGATGTTAGAATTGTGTGAGGGTGCTTTTTGGCTGTACCACTGATTGAGGACATATATTACCAGCATTTGGCACCAGAAGCCACAAATGCTAACCCTCCTGTAATGTGCAAGACAGTCTTGAAAAACAAAGAATTCCCACTCCAGTGCTACCCATGCCTCAATTGAGAAACACAAACCATAAGGCATAATCATGATTACATAACTCATTCATGGTTAGTGGGGATGCAAAATGACATACGCACTTTGGAAGATGGTCTGTCATAGGCTTCTGGAAGCTAAACATGATCCTACCATACAAAAAAAAAAAAAAGCAGTTGCACTCCTAAGTATTTACCCAACTGATTTAAAAACTTACATTGACACAAAAGCCTGCACATGAATGTTTACAGCAGCTTTGTCAATAATCATCAAAAACTAGAAACAACCAACATGTCCCTCAGTAGGAAAGTATAAATAAGTAGTGGTTCATCCATACACAGAATACTAGTCAGTTGTAAAAAGGAATAGACTATCCAGCCACACAAAGATATAAAGGAGTCTTAAATGCATACTGCTAAGTAAAGAAACCAATCTGAAAAGCCACAGAGTGTATAATTCCATTTATTTGACAGTCTGGAAAAGGAGAACTCTAGGGACAGTGAAAAGACCAGTGGTTTCCAAGTTGAAAGGTGAAGCACAGGAAAATTTCTCAGGGGGCCAAAACTCCTCTGCATGATATGCTAACAGTAGATAAGATGCATTTGTCAAAAGCTATTGAAATTTATAGCACAAAGAGGGGACTTTCATGTAAACAAATTAAAAAAAAAATACTTAGCAGAATGAGGGATCCAGGGATGGAATATGAACTTTGGTAAAGTAACATAACTATATTACAAATGAATGAAATAATCTTACTGAAGGGGTTGGGGAAATGTGTGGCCCTGGCACTTTGGAGATGAGTGGTGTTTGTAAGGCTGAAAGCACAGGGAACGAGTAAAAGCACTGTGTTCTAGTTGATAAAATTGCTTCCCATGAGGGTACAGATGAACAACTCTGATGCCACTGTACATATATGCTAGCATTGAATGAGCCTAGAACATCCTGTGGTGTTAGCAAGTAAGGAAGTGCTATGATGAGGAAGAAGGAGGAGGTGAAGGAGGAAGAGGAGAAGAAGGAAAAGAAGAAGAGGAAGAGAAAGAGAAAGAAGGAGGAGGAGAGAAGGAGAAGAAGGTGGTGGTGGTGGTTGAGGGTGTGTCAAAGAGACATAAAGCCTAACTGTAAGAGCACCAATGCCAAAGCTGGAACAGTTTGAGAACCAAAATAAATAAAGTAGTATTCCATAAACCAAACTGTTTCTCCTGATTTTTAAATGAATTTGCTATTAACTTCTTACTTATATTTACTTTATTATTTATATTTTAATTATTAGTTTTAATTGTAAAATTTATTTATATCAGTACATACTCATGGATGTATACCCATGTAAATAAATATAAATAATTGATTGGATAAATTAAAATCATGAAGAGACAAATCTCTTGGACATAATTTATGTCCAATTTATTAAGTTTGTGTTTCTCAATTGAGGTAGAACATATCTCCCTGCTCCTAAGTAAGGACTGTACATAGTGACATCCTTGCAGAATACAAAACAGAAAAAGAGGTAGATCACCTTTAAGTGGAGAAACCTGACAACACTATCAACTGGATGATCAAGGTCAACATGGACAATGATGAGTCATGTTGACAGAATGTGTCCTTGACATGATGTAATGAAAATGGCACTTGATCTTTGTCGCCTTCCTCTCTAAATCTCATCACCCCAGTCTGATAATGGGAAAAAAATCAGACATGTCCCAAATGAAGAATGTTTTACAAAATACCTGACTAGCACTCCTCAAAACTGTCAAGATTATCAAAAATAAGGAAATTCTGAGAAACTGTCAGAGCCAAGAGGAACCTAAGCAGACATGACAACTAAATGCCATGTGATATCTTGGATGGGATCTTAGGAAAGAAAAAAAATAGGTAAAAACGAAAGAAAACTGAAGAAAGTTGGACTTGAGTTTATAATAAAATAGAAATGTTTGTTCATAATTATGACAAATATACCATATGGATAAAAGATGTTAATAACCAAGGGAACTGGATGTGAATATATGGAAACTTTCTGTACACTCTATGATTTTTCTGTAATTCTAGAACTATTTTCAAAATTTAAAGAGTTTATATAAAAATTTAAATTCAAGGAGGCAATATGACTTATTGGAGTGGTTTTTGATAAAGAGGAGTTATCGGTCCCAAGTGGCATTTTGTAAATTTGGAGGGATGCTTCTGTTGTCGTAATAACTGAGGAAACTTTCCTTGAATTTAGTGGACCAAACAGGATAGCCAGGTGTTCTGTAATGTGAAGGATGGTCCTGACCAATGACTGGATTTTGAATACCTCTGGCTATTCATGTAGATAAAAACAAACAAAAAACTACTTATAATTTTACATATAAATGCAAGGTACTTTTTCATGATCTTAATAGGCAATATATAATGCATTTCTTGTATATATTGAGGGGGGATTGTAAATTCTTTTCTTGGGAAGTTTACTAAGACTTGCTTACTATACTGAAAACCACGTAACCCAAAATTTCTAATAAAATTTTAATGTCTAATACAAAACACCAAAGTATGTAGCTATCACACATGCAGTCTTTCTACATACATACACAAGTAACGAATACATTGTCGGGTAGTTGTTTCTCAGTATTTACATCTTGAAATATCTACTATCTTATTACAGGTTTCTTTTATTTCTCCATTTGGTTACATGAAAGAATCCTATTTGCTTTTTGAAAATTTGTGTGTAGGTAGGTTATGTAATTTATGAATTTATTTCCAGATGGTAGAGAAAGCATTCAACTATTTGTTATAAAACAGGGACATTTGGATCTGACAGGGTTGAGAACCACTAATACTATAAATAGACCTCGGATGGAATCTCTGACAGAGACAGGTAATTGTCTATCAAAAATTTGAGCTACCTTTCCATATATATAGTTGTATCTGGGAAGTTGACACTCAGCCTGAACTACACTTTGAACCCTTCTTGCCTAATTGTCTATCAAAAATTTGAGCTACCTTTCCATATATATAGTTGTATCTGGGAAGTTGACACTCAGCCTGAACTACACTTTGAACCCTAATTGTCTATCAAAAATTTGAGCTACCTTTCCATATATATAGTTGTATCTGGGAAGTTGACACTCAGCCTGAACTACACTTTGAACCCTTCTTTCTCCTCTTTATCTACCCCTTAACTCATACCTGACACTATGTGACTAGTTTTAAGCACCGGAATACTGCAAGATGGGTAAGCTTTCTCCATCTCCCCCTTCCCTGGTTAGAACCAGGGGCCTCCACAGACATGAGGGATGGATCAGCCACAAGCGAGAAAGGGCTAAATCTCAGAATTAAGAAAATGAAGATTCTCTGGCCACCAGAAACACCCATTTTAGACTGTTCAGGAGGGAGAATTAACTGTGATGTCATTGAAATTTGGGGATTTTTGTTATAATAGCCGGCATAACTAATACACAGACTACCAGTTTCATCACTCATTCATTTAAGCCAGCCATTTACCAAGATAATGTCTTTAAAAAAAAAAAAATCTTTATAAAGATGCTAAATATAGTAATAGTCTTACAGGGTTGTTGTGAGGTTTACATGGGATCATACTTAGAAAAGCACTTGCACTTTATAAGCCCTGATTGAGTTCCTTTGTCCATTGCCGTTCTTATTCCAACTTGTCCATTTATCTACCTGCCATTTAACTTGTAACATCCACTAATAAACTCCTAGACCTCCATGCCTAACTATGGTAGATCCTGATTAGGGCTCTGAAGTGGTTCTTTCTGCTCCAGAGATTGCTTCACTGTATCCTCTTTCTCCTCTTTCTTTATATGAAATGTGTCCTTGGAAAACTGCACAACCACTGCTTTCTCTCTGAATCAAGTTCACATACCAGGAACTCTGTTGGATATTTTGCTTAATTCATTCATCAGGAAAAAAATAGTGTTTATTTCTTGATGAACACTGTAATTATTGCTAACACATAATCACATTTTCCCTAACTCGAGAATTTGCAAATTCATGCAGTGTGGATTTAGGAGTTCTATGTTCAAATCCTGTTTAAATCCCCTGCTCAAGTTCCCAGGGGGCCCTCCAGGCTTCACATTTTTCCCCTTGATAAAAGTATTAGCATTTGTTTAAAAGTCCTGTAGAAGCTATAAATACTGAAATGCAGAGGTTAATGCCAGCAGATGCTTCAGCCATTCAATGTTCCATTCAGGGCCACGGTCCACAGACCCAAAGCACACATGACCAACCTTTCCCCAAATGCCATGCTTCCCATAGGCAAGAGTCGCAAGTCTTTTCAAATAGAGTACTTTGTTTCCCAATAATACCTTTTCAATCCTTCCCAGGTTACCCATTTCTGAAGAAACAGAGAAGTTGCCAAAATTTAAGGAGTCTGCATATCTGGTCAAAAATCTTTACGTTCCTGTAGCTTATCACAAAGAGTATTTTTCTGCACATCATGAAAACAACAAATGCATTTGCGCATATTAATTACATGGGAGCAAATGGCTTCAGTGCATGTTTAGAATTTCTAAAGCACTGACTTGATCATTTCCCCTTCATCTTAATGATCCACAATGGTACATTGTTGCCTAAAGAAGGGGTTTCAAAATATGTTGGGTCAAGAATGTCTTTGAAAAGTTCACCACGGTATTGTCTCTTGCCCCCAAACTGCATATAGAGAGAAAATAAGTGACATTTTAGTTG